GTATATTTTATTTGGTTTATATCTAGTATATTGGGTATTGGTAAAAGGACATACTGTTTCCAATTTACAAAGTCTTTAGTAGCAGATCCAACATAGAGCCCTGCACAAAACAAAAGGTCTTTCATCACTGCAAAAAGAATCTAGCAGTTACATTGCAACCCTAACCAGTGGCTTTTTGCACAGTCAGGAATAGCAACAAACCAGTGAAGCGGAAGACTGGAAGTTGTCTTGTCCCTCCCAGAAAACACACCTGTGGCTTATCAGAGGGCCTGGTGTCAGAATAAGTTGCCCGCCTATTTCAATTTCAAGTCAATTGTAACTTTCTCTAATCCACTAGTGAAAAGTGATGTTATCAGTGTATGACACTCAGTTTACCTTGTAGGTTTTTTTTTTTCTAACTAAATGAACCTTCAGATTCAATGAACATTTGTATTTTTTAGTGTTCTTTGAACTCTAGTGCTGTTAATGAGCATAAGCAGCTGGAAAGTTAGATGTTTCCACGTTAACTCTTTATAAATATTGGCAAGGGGAAAATAGGTTTTCAGGAAGCACACTTTTTATCCTTTTTTCTTTAAATCGTATGAATTCATAAACACCTACAAAGTAGGAAGAAAATGTGTCAGTGTTTCAGCTTTCATAGTTGAAAAGGGAGGAAAGAGAAAGTAAGAATAATATTTTTTTTCATCCTTCATTCAAATAATTAATAATGTGTCTTTTTAACATACAAAGCAGGAAATAATGAGTGAAAGTAAAAAAAAAAAGGCAAATTTTCACATAATTTCTTCCTGTAACCTTCAGAGTATGACAGTATTTTCTTTCAATATATGATTACTTAGCTTAATAATTTCCAGTCACACTAGAATTCTTTACAATAGATTAAACATGGTTTAGAAGGAAAATGCTGTATTTTGTTTATCAAGATCAAGGTAACACTAGTATAAAACCATTTGTTTTACAAAATCAAGTCACAAAGATATTATGCTTGGAAGGAACTCAAACAAAGATTAAATATTTTTCATTGGATCTTTAGCATTTTAGAAACCAGGCAAGAAGTACTAGTCCTGCTAGATAGATACAGAGAAAAATCAGACATTCAGCATGCATTTGAATACGTGTTTTAAATAACCAATAAGTATTGACTTAGGCCTCTTCACTGGATGAAAATCTGAGTAGCATTCATCAAATTCCACTGCATTTTAATAGCAATGGAAAGCTGCGGCCTCAGTTTCAGAATACCAGCTTTTCAGCAGAAAGAGGATAATACCAAGACATCTTTCTTTTTAGACTTGCTTTTTTTCTTAATAAAGGCTTCACATTATTTGTCTCTATAATTCTTTCTTCTCCAAGCTGTCATTCCTTCCTTTTCAGTGGTCTTCTGGGATGGTTAAGTAGAATGGGAAAAACCACTGCATTTAAGAAGAAAATGTTCATTTGGTTTTAACAGGTGGTCTACTTTTAAAAATCAGCTGGGGTATAAAATTAGTCCATCAAACAAATTAATAGCTTTACAACTACCTATAGCAGTCTGCAGAGCACTTGTAAAGTTTGTTTGAAGAAGCTGTTTTGTTTCATTCAACCAGTTAGTACTGGGGAACATGCATTAGTGCTCAGAAGCTATGGATCATTTCTTACCAACTAGTAAGAAGCTACTGTTTCTTACACACCTTTGCCTGACATGTCTCATTAAACTATGGGCCCAGAAAAACCCTCTTTCCTTACACAGCCTTTACTGCTTTTGATTCTCATGGTGGTGTTCTGCCGACATGTCTGGCTGAGTGTAGAGGTCCATTCAGATAGATGTCTTTCTGCATCATCGAGGCTTTGCAGTATCAAAGTTTGAAAACAATACAGGTGCTATCTGGAGTAACCCATACCCTTCTGCCTCAGTATACGAGGCTTGTCTCGGGTTGCTATCATGATCCATCCCCCTGTGCTGTGCTTCTCCCACTCTAAATCCTGCCTATCTATCTGGCACTGCTAGAAACAGCACCTAAAAGACATGCCCATATGTTCATCTGTGAGATGCACATCATGCCTCTCAGTCCACCACTATCTGCTCTACATCCAGATAGTCCTAAAGCAAGGCTCTTATCAGTGTGCTTGTTTGAAAGAATGTGAAACCAACAAAATCTTAAAATTCAAATACTGAAACTATTTCCTGATCAAAAATCTATGTTAGAGATGCCAAAATGTTACTAGGAATGTAACTCAGTGCTCCTATTCTGCATTTAAAACTCACATTGTCCTCAGTTTTCACCATTAAAGAGGCCAGTCCTAATTATAAGAATCCAACTGACATTTACAGAAAGATTTCTATCAATGACTATGCTTTTTGAATCAGACCTGTTAACTTAGGATTCACATGGGCTACAACTTTTTTTCTGTTAAATCTTTTCCATCACTGGTGTAGTTTTGTTTTTATTTTTCTGAACAAAACCAAAATCTCTGTATATTTTGTTTCATTATAATTGAGAAGAAAACAAATGGAAATAATGGCTTTGAATAATTTTCTAGGAAAATACATATGCTGACTGACCATTTACTTATGTATGCTATATACATAAATATGTCTCTTAGCAATAGAAGCAATAAGACTTTAACCAAAATAGACAGCACCTCTTTCTTTTTGTTCTTGGTTTATTGCTTCAGTATTTTTTTTTTTTTATAACGTTGAGGTGAATAACTGAAAACTCATTTCACAAACATTTAATTTGTACCATAAGATGGTGGTAGATGTGTACTCATTTCAGCCTCAGACTATACTCTTCTCTGATTGTAAATATCTCAGCAATGTGGGATAAGGATAACACAGCAGACAAAAATCTCCTCTTCCAGATACCTCAAGAAAGATAGTAGTTGTTTTACTTTAATGTTGTAAATCACCTTTATACTAAATCATGTTACTCTCATCCCAACAATAAATTATACTGTGTGAAAACAAATAAAGTCCAAATGATTGCAAAGATGTATTATCTGGAGGAAAAGTAAACCCAATAGGTGAAATCTAAGAATGAAGTTAAAAATTCAAGGTCTGTTTTTTTGTCAAACTATTAAGCATTCCTTTAAAAATGATATTTCTGTGTGCTCTTTATTGGGGAATGGGTTTGAAAACAGCATGTACTGCTTTTGGCAACCTACTATAAATATGAACATACATATTCTTATTTATGTATTTCAAACAATATCTCAAGAGAAAGCATTTGTCGTATACAGGGTCCAAACCAAGAATACATCAATGTTTAGTATCTTCAAAACCAAAATTTATACCTAAAGGCTGCAATTGTCTCTTACCTATATGATAATTTGAACTTCTGAACTAACCAGATCAAAACTTACAGGTGATTGAAACCAGACTAACACTCTGCAGTATTAGCAAAATGCCACTACAGACACAGACCTTATGGGTTTTTTAATATTTTAGAGACTCCTCTACTTCTTACTTGAAGTGAAAAGTAGTTTTCCAGATGTTTGACATGTAACCGTCAAAATATCTGTCCAAATCATCTATTTAATTTGAATCAGTATTTAGTCACATAAAATATAAACCCAGGTATCTGAGCAAAAGATACGGCAAGTGGTTTTCATGCCAGTATCTAGCATTAACTTGCTATTGTGTGTTAAGTATAATCAAATAAACCTAATAACTGGTACCAAACTAGACCGAGTTGCAACACTAAGCTACGGAGTTTGAGAAACAAGTTATTTCCACCTCCTTTGGCAGAACCCATCTGCTGCTCCTACACCCAAGGGAATCTACAACTTACCCAGAAATCAGGCTGAATTTGGGGTAGATCACTCCTTCCTACAGAAAAAAATGCAGAAAGACACCAGATAGAGGGGGAAGAAAATCCTTTCCACTAGTTGGTTCAGCGAGGGGTGGGAGCAGAAGGCTGTCCCGGGACGGAAGCACAGCCCAGGTGCCCCGGTGGGAGCGGGAGCGGGCAGCTCGATCTGCCTGCTGGCCCTACATGATGCCTGCCCACCCTTTGGAGCAACTCTGCCTGGGCTCTGGGCACCCTGCAGTGGACCCTGCACTTCAGAGAGTTGCAGCTGGAAGAAATACTGGATCAGAAGATGACCAAGCTCTCCTTCTGTAGAGAAATGGACACGTCTCCTAATTCTTCCCCTCAGCTCTGCATTCTGGTTTTATAAAAGCATTGGGGGGGTGGTGGTGGGGATTTTTCTCTTCCAATATTTGAAACACACTCTCGCATTCAATCACTCATTTTATGTGCCACTTGTGATCATTCTGATACATTTATGCCCCACATGAAATATATTACCGATATATAGAGCAATGAAAAAAACAAATACATGTTTGAGATCATCCTATTAGTGATGCTGGTGGCCAGACTCGGTGTTGCTATGTACTACACAACATGAACATTTTCTTTTTTTTTTCAAGTGAGAACCTGGAACTGTCTTACCATGTCTTAAAGGTCACTGTTCCTAGACTAATCATATACACAGATGAGTAGAGATAAACATTTGTAATCATAAACGCAAGACAGTTTGAAGGAAAAAAAAAGTCCTAGTAATTCTTCTCCCACTATAGCACAAGCTGGTGGGTTGGAGCAGACTTCAGTAGTGGCAGATGATATATTAAATACATCAATTTACACATGACACAGCTCCTCTTTTTATTTCACCAATGGCCCAGTGAATCTTGCTGAAACATTCAAGATAAAGTTAGTGAAGCCTGTAATAAGATTCTGGTAGCAGAAGCCATATATGCAAAATTCACAGCAGATTATGTTATGAATATTATCAGCCTCAATGGAAAACACTTTCTTGTCTTCATTAGTTAAACCGTATGCTATTACCACCAGTATCTAAAAACCAGACTATAGGTATAGCATAAATATGCTGCTTGTCAATGCAGAGGGTTATTATATTCTTATCAGTTAAATGTGTATCTGATTAATGCCTTTTCTTAATACAAAAGTATATATATCGTACTTCTAAAGAGCTAACCATAAAAGCATTTTTACTTAACTTACCAGTTGTTGAAGCTGGAAGGAGTCTTGCCCTAAACTCTCTACCTGCTCTCATGTTGGTAATCTCTGTCTCTCTCTCCCCCCCCCCCCCCCTCTCTCTCCCTCCCCCTGTGCAGAGATTGCAGTAAACTTAGAAAACTAGCAGGGACAGTGTTTCAAATGACTTAAGAAAGAGAACAGGAACAATCATTTTGTTCTCTTTTTTTCAGATGAGTACAGTACCTTCAGAAAGAAGGAAGGAAGGGAGGGGAGAGGAAGTCAACAACCCTTTGCTTTCCTGCAAAAAAATAAGGAAACAGCAGATAACAATCTCGTTTTCTCTCAAACAAAATGTTTGGAAAAATAAATATATCCAAAGCAAAAGGAATTCCTCAAGTATTATATCTGCATTATTGGCTTCATAAAACCTATTTTACAGCTTGCTATGTGTAACTACATGAAATGAATTTCCGAAGCAGTGGGTAGGAATAAGACACTCATGTCTTATGCAGAACAATTAGCCATAAGCTTGCACAGATATTGTAGGCTTTTACTCTAGAGAAGGAGTGATCATAGATGTATACACATAACTTGTTTCCATGGTGATATAGGTATAAAATTTCCTAAAACCCCTTTTTACTGCGATGACAAAAAAATAGCACATTCGGTATTTATAGAATGCTGTGAAATAAAAAGGGGGATCAAAGGGGTCGCAAAAATGGTGATGATCCTAACTTGATATTGGAGTTGCAGTAATAAGTAATTTATCTCAAAGAATTGCATTATAAAAGACATCCTGATTTATACAAACAAAACCAGTATGCTATGTTCTAAGACATATTTTGTACTTTATTTTGTTTCTTTTCCCATTAAACGTATTTTGACAACCAGATACTGGCCAGCTGGCTGGAGTTATACTTGGGATAAGTTTAGTCCATTGTGCTTCATTGTGTTTTTGTTTGCTTGTGTGTTTTCCCCTAACTTTATCTATAATCTGAAGTCCACTTAGAGTGATTAGATGCTCCCCTTTTTTTTCCCCCACTATTTTTTTTTTTTTCATTCTAACATTCTTGCCAGTAAACACCTTCACACTGTCACTGGGTCTGCATTTTCATTTGACCTTGTAATGTGGTACCGAGGGTGGGGCTGATCATCAGCGAGCAATTCAGGGTTGAGTTCTGTGAAAGACACAAAAAAACCCTCATTTTAAATGTCCCTGTCCTATAAACTGTCCATCCAGACTTTGATCCAGGAGCAATAGCTAGATGAATGCTGCTGAAATCAACTGAGTTATTGGTGCAAATCCAGTGTTAATGGGAGGATGAGTTGGAAGCTACACCATAAAAATTATTATTTCTTTTACTGTACAATGAGAATTGATACGCTGTAAACCAACATAGGACATAGCTCTTTGGCACCTGTGTACCTTCATGGAGTTCCTGGTACTATTTCCAGAAGACTTCTAGCAGCGATTTGGCTGGAGAGGCTTTTATTTTAATATTCAGAAACTGAAAGTTCTGATAATGGACATCAGTATATGACAGACCAATGCAGGTGCTATGAGTGATCTCCGGCCTTACAACATCACCAGTGTTCCCTGGAGTGGGCGAAAGCGGAACAGAAGGGTGAATTTTAAAAGCAAAGGAATGCAATGCACTTAGGGTATATACTGCAAATTAAATCCTTGATACACCCTTGAGGCTGGAGGACCTAATCAAACAGATCTCTAGTGCATGCTAAACACAAGGGAAATAAAGAGGCCTGGGAAGCCAACAAATGAATGTTCCGTGGGGTCAGTCGAACAGCTAAAAAAATTTATTTTGTTTTGAAATTGTTTTTCAAGATCTTAAAGATGGTAGCAGCTTCCAGGCTGTTTAAGTTTGTGTTATTTATTTATTTGTCAGGCATGCCAAGCTAATGAGACCCTGAAGACTGCCATTACATATCATTTTGTTTCTCTCCACTGGGAACACACTGCAGTAGTTAGCTGAAAACCTATACTGGCCAAGTTAGGATAATTCTTATATAAGTCACTGAGGTTGTGTAATAGTCTGTGTAGTCCTTTATGAAAGACTTAGTTGTCACACATGTCCCCTACTTCAAGTAGCAGGTTTCCCTTTCTTGAAGATTGCAAAGCTAAGAAGCTGGGCACAAACATCCATGTGACATCTTCAACAGGTTATAAGACTTTGCTATTCTGATTGAAGGACACTATGAGAGCCCCTTACTTCAGCAAGGAGAGCAGGAGATGTAAGGTCTTTGCTAATCCTACCTCAGGTCCCATTTTCAGCAGCTGTTCCACCATCCAAGTTTTCAGGACTGATTTAGTTGCCACATCCAAGGCCCGGTAGAATAATCTTGCTTCCCAGCATGCAGCCACTGTAATGTTTGTCTTGCTCTTACTTCTGCCAATTTCTTCCAACTGTTGCCAGAAAATCACAGCCAAAGGAGGAAGAGACACTGAAACTGTGATTTTCATGCCAGAAAAATACCTTGCAATATTGCTGCCTGTGCAGTCACTGACTGTGGAGAAAGAAAAGCTTAGCCAAAATCATTGATACCTAGAGTTATGCAAACCAAGTCACAACAGATGACACTATTTATGAAATCTACCCAGGTTTTAAGGGACAAATTAAGCTGTATTTCAGAACATATTTCCGAAGAAGTGTTAGCTGCCTTCTTTTTTTGACCTTTTCTCACTGTGCTGTTACCAAAATGAAGCCACTGATACAAATTCAGAAAGGTGCAGTGCCATCCTCAATGCAAATAAGTGAACAACTTCAAGTGTAAGTGCTTCCTGGGTCCAGTACATAGTCTCTTGTGAGGAGTGGCCAGGAAAAAAACATTCTTGTGGTCATGGTCAGGGTAAGTACCGAGCACAAGGAAGTTTCCTCTTGTACTAGCCTGTGTGATTAGACTAGATCTTCAACCAGACTGACATTTATGTTAAGGCCTTGATTTTTTTTTCTTTTTCTTTTTTTTTTTTTTTTTAACTCCAGTAGGGAATAAATTGTGTTTCAGAGGCTCTTTTCAGTGACAGCAGGGATGTTTTCCTATATGTTCAAAATAAGAATGAAATAAAACATTTCAGTATGGTAAAAATAATTTGAGCCCTATCCAGCATAGATATAAGAGAATCCAGCATAGATAGAACACAGAGATAACTGCAGCAGCAATAACATGTCACTTCATCCTGAGAAAATGAGACCAGGGGCATTTACTGTTTTGTTTGATTGCTTTAGGACAATAAACATATACATTTGAACTCTCTGTAAAAAAAACAAGATTAATATCTTCCTTCCTGTCTACAGTATACCTGTGGCATTTTAACTGAGTAAAAATAATACCCTTCTCACTTAGAGACAAAAAAACTGAAGGACACCTAATTGTTTTCCGTAAGTCACTCTCTGCTGTGCTTTCCTGGTTTCTTGTCTGCATTGCATGTTTACTGTAGACTGTTCAGGAATGAGCTGGCAGAATGCTAATGGGACCAGAGACAAGTGGAACTGAGTCTAAAGGGCTTCTCTTCTGTGCTGCATCATGTGGAGAACGTGGCTCTAGTTACCAATATTTGGCTATATATGTGATTTGTTGTATTGCTACGCATTAAGCCTGTATACACTGTTACTCAATAATATATCTCCAGGGCTACTTTTTTTTTTTTTTTTTTTTAATTATTGTAGTCATACTATATGTATTTAATTTAGTTTCTCAGATTGGAAAATATTAGACTATTAGAAAATATTCCAGATGCTTTACACTACTACCCATCTTTCATATTTTTTACTTTTGAGGTAAATAATATCTAATCACCACTTGAATGAATATTTGCAGACTATAAACTTTGGACCAACCACATCTGTCAATTGTTTTGGGGAGAGAAATTGGGGATTTGTACTAAAGAGAGGAGCTTTCCTGACAATAAACACCTTAGTATAATTTAAAGTGGCCTTTATAACTCATCCTGGGCCAAACTCATTTCTGGTAAATGACATTGGCTGCAGTGATTTAAAGACAGGCTTTTCCTGTACCCTGTGTGTAATCATCACAACTACCTTTATTAAAACAATACCATCAAAAGCTATTTTAAAATAAGATGGTATGATTAAGAGGACGTGTTTTCATCTTTTAACATACCTAAAGTTATGTGAGCAGGATTGTATTCAGGTCAGAGGTGGACAAGAACTTGGCTTTGGTCAGTATGTTTGAATCTGGTGTCACCTTTGAAGTGTTAACATGTGGAAAGTAAAGTACCCCACCAAGTTTTTAGTGGTTTCTCAAAGCTGGCCATTTGGCAGTAGTAAAGCCTTCAGTTTTGCCTCTTAGACTGGGAAGTTCATTCAACATTTGTTCTGATCTTTCTTGGTGATCTTACTTGATCAAGAGTGTTCATGTACTCTAATGTTCACTAAATGTACTGTAACATCTGAAATTATTTAACATGTTTACAGGCTTAGGCTGGGCATCTAAGGTTGAAAAATATCTGACTCTCTAGAAAATATAAGGAAAATATATGTTTACATATTCTTCCCCATCCAATGATGTTTCTTAAGTTGTTAGGTCTGATAACATGACAATACTTCTTCTGGAAGCCTGACAGTATATTTCAAGATAATTTTGAAATGGATCTGAATTTATCAAATTTTTGTAATCAATCTGCAATTGCACTCATTTTCATATTAATTATTTTAGTCACTTAGCTAATGTAGTCTCTGTCTTGTATGAAATAAATAGTTGTAATGATTTTTGAGATATGATTTTGTCCTTTAGCTTATGATATTTTCCCAAAGTATTCAGTGCTTGTGCTACAGTTGAAGTGCTGTGGGCACTTAAAAAAAGGCCCTTTCTGGTAGCAAAACACAAATAGTGAAAACCCAACAATTCTGCTACCAAGCAGTGCACCTCTGATTTATAACTGTTAGACTGGAGAGCCAAGAAAGCTCTTGGGAAATCAGTATTCCACACCTGTGTGAATGATGATAAATTGTGTCTCTAAGGCTTTTTGAAACTCTCTGTGCTTTAGAGAAAGAAAGGAAGAATCCTTATACTTGTGTTTAGATTGGAGTTTGAGGGTCTGATTCTTTAGCTGGGGTTTGGGTTTGGATTTTTTGTGTTTCAGAGTTTGTTTTTCACCTTGACACTTAGGAAATACTAGAC